CCGCGCACGCCCGCACGCGCACGCGCACGCCCGCACGCGCACGCGCACGCGCACGCGCACGCGCACGCGCACGCACACGCACACGCACACGCACACGCACACACACACACACACACACACACGCACACACATAAGCCAGTTGCGCACCCCGTTGTTTCCGCAACTGACAATACTGGACGTCTCCTGTTGGCTTGGCCAAGGGACGGGCCTCAAGGTTTCGTGCAAAACTGAGGGGGGAGACCGTTGGTGCAAAACACCTCACAAAAGGTCCAGGCAAACCAGTTGACAACCCGATTCCCCTGCAAAAAAAGACACTCGATCGCGTCTCAACAGACCCCCCCCCCATTAAAAAAAATACAAAGTCCCCCCAACACGGTTCCCCATTTAGGGTGTGTCTTGTTTTGGGGGGCCCCCAAAATGGTGATTTCCCTCTTGGTTTCCCTCTTCAAGACCAACCCCGAAAAGGGCACCGAGCTTTCTTTCTCCGGCAGTTCGAAGCGCCTTCGCAGCGCTGAGGAGATGGGCCGAAGCTGCGGGGTGCGGGTGCCCCAGTACTTGACCCAGTGCTCCCAGAAGCTGAGCCTCGTGCTGATGTTCACTCTGATGCTGATGCTTATGGCGCGGACAAGAGAGACCACTTGTTCAGGGCTCCTTAAAAGATAGATTTTGACCATTTGAAACATGGCTTTTTCCACCAAAATACAGGGACACCACCATTTACAAGGCAATGTTCAGGCGTCACTTCCTGGATCGCCAGTTGCGATCGCTGTTTTCCATGAACTTCACCCCAACAACCAGCAATAGTGACTGAAAACAGCAGGAACTTGGCTATCTAGGTTGTTCCTTTTCTTGCTGGTGCGATAGGTAGGGAAGGAGGGAACAAACCCAGAATTCCCCTTGAAGGAAACCACAAGGGATGGTTTATAGGGGTCATTCCTTCATTCCCTGCCGAGCACCGGGGCCGTTCGGATTCGAATCGGGAATGCACACGGTCTGAGCCGTCCGGATTCTAAAAATGGTGACCACTTGGCCATGTTTCAGAGCTGAACCATGCAGCTCCCCATGGCCAGAGTTGTGTGACATGGGCTCGGCCTTGAGAGCCGCAGGTGGAGCCGATGATCCACTGCGTGGGCAGCACAGAGGACTCGGGATCACCAGGGGAGCCAACAAGAAGCGCCGTTTTGGGAAGACTCGAAGAGACCGAAACTGGGATCGGGGTGTCAGCAGGAGCAAGTCTTCAAGTTCGAATGTGAGGCTTGGACTGATGGAATGAGCCCTTCGCCTGCATATCGCAAAGACTGTGGGTTGCGTTGCAAAGAGCCTCTTGGTTTCCGGCATGCGTGTACAGGGTGAAAGATGGCGGAGTCCATTCCAGCCCTAAAACCGAAGAAGGGGGGCAGGTGTCGACGCAGGTGGCTGCACCTTTGGAAGCCGTGGGCCCATGTTTTCCTGGGTGGCGCCCAGGCTTGATGTACGAGATCCTCTCGATCGCCGGCATTTTCATGCCACCCGGCAAGAAGTTGCTCCGCGTCGCACGCGAGCGGGCGAAGGCTTTCGCCGCAGAGAAACGCGGCGCCAAAACGTTGGGATTTTCATGAGAGGTTCTGCATCCTGGTACTGGACGTCACCAGCATCTCCATCACCATGTCCGAGTACACGGTGCTGTGCACCCACGCGCTGGAGCAGGCTTGGGGAACGGCCGCAGTCCAAAAAGGGGATCCAGCAGATTCGGTCCAGAAAACTCTGCAGAGGTTTGGCTTGAGGAATATCCAGAGTTTTGGGCAGTTTATTGGCTCTACTACCTGGTTTGACATAGTTTAATGATGGCTCTGGTGCCTGGCTTACGCTTCGGTCTTAGGGGTCATGGGGGTCGAGCTACTCAACTTAGAAACTCACAAACAATCAGCCGCACATGCACAATCAGCCGCACATGCACATTCGGGAGGGACCCCATTTTTCGATATTTCCAGGGTTCACCAAATCCCCCACCCCCCCCCCCCCAGAGAGGAAGATTGTCTTCAAGACTCCCCAGTCAGATTCCGTGTTCTAGTGAGCAGCAATCAGGTAGCACAGGGACCTTTCCTGCAAAATCTCTGATTCTGTGCTAACTGTACCTATTGGTATGCGACCTGTTTGTTACTCACTTTCTCGTGACCCCGGACAGGAGGCCACCTCCTTTCCATTGTATTCACTTCTTTGTGGCTGGGACTTTCGTTTTTTTCTTCTCCCCGTGTTCAGTTTAAGCCGTGTTCTGCGAATTTGACGTCTGATCGAGGTGATGTTGTGCTTCATGGCCTTGTTCACCGTGGTCTGCACCTTCACCTTCGCCATCGCCTCCATGTCCCGGGAGGTGATCCGATTGATCCGATCGCCGGGGTGAGGGGATTTGCCTGGGTGGTTGCATGGTAAGTGTTCAAGGCTTTGCCTTTGAATACCCAGGCCCAAAATGTGGTGTTTCTCAAACCGGAACAAGTCCTTCGGTTGGTAAAGGGAAGCCGCACGAAATCAAGGATTTGCGGGGGAACCTTGAGAAGAATGGGGCCTGGCGGACATCTGGACAATGTCGGCTTTCAGCAAGCTTAAAGCTGGAGGCAAGATGCGCCAATCATGATTGGTTGTGGATGTCAATTTGGGAATACCTTGTGGCACAGAGAGCCTTGACACTTCAGAAGTAGAGAGGATGAAAGGCTGAAAGGAGGTTCGCAACTGTGCCCGGTCGAATTTTGTGCTCAAGTAGGCCGGCTTTGCCAGGCAGTAGCCGCCGCTCTAATGGAACTTCGCATCGTGATTGGAGTGCTGCTTGCAGTCGGCTTTTGGGTGCTCACGTCAATCTGTGTAATGGCCCGCACTTATGGGCCAGCAAGGAGACGCGCCGCCACTTGCAGGGAGGCAGACTTCCCAGCCAACCTTCAAGAAGTGCGGCTAGACCACGATCTATGCTGTGGAATTTGTTTAGACAATGCCCCCAGTGGCGCAGCATTGGTCGCGCTCAAGTGCAATCACGCTTTCCATGACGAGTGCATCCGAGCTTGGTTTCTGAGGAGCTCCGTCAAGGAGCGTGCATGCCCATTCTGCCGAGATCGGCACCACGCGAGCTTGTCCTTGCCCAGCGCATGAATGGCACAGTTGTCTGACAGAAATGTTTAAAGTGCCATCGAGAAGGAGTGATATGGATTCCTTCTGCGTGTCCCAGTACATGAAAGGCACAGCTGGGTGACGGAAGTGTTTATTGGGATCCGACATGTGTGTCTTTGTGCGTGTTGAGCACGGAGGAAAGTCGCATGCTTGTCAGAGACTATCCCATACTGTGCTACAAACAGAGAGCTTGATTTTCCTACCAAGATTCTTCTGGGCGAAAAAAGTCTGGAGAATGCCTGCCGACCCATGAAGTGGGAGGAGAAAAGCGAGCGTACTTGGTTTGGGGACTGGTGTCTTGGATTGGGTGGTGGGATTTGAAGCCTGGGGAGGCTTTGTTTTGGGACCTCCAAACCACCGGTTTGGCTCCAAGCCACTTCGGAGGGATATAAATCCATGAAGGTTCCTCTAACTTGCGCCCAGATCCACTCGAAGTATTGGAATCCCATCTTGGCAGGCGCAGCACGTTTCTGGAGAGGAGCCGCCGACCTGTGCGATTGATGTGCACTCGTTTGTCACTTTTTGTTGTTTTAATCACCCAACGTTTGTTTTTTTGGGCTAAACCAAAAGGCGACCGGGCCATAACAGATTTTATTGCAGGACTGAAGTCTCGCCCCTTTCGTTCTTCTGCGTTTCCTTGATTTCCCTAAACAAGCAAACGTTTGCAGCCAGAGTCTGAGGAGTGGAAGGGCTTCAGCGCAACTGGGTCCTTGATCCAAGTGGCCTTCGGGCTTATGGATTTGGAGCCTCAGAGAGCATGGAGTTTGGGGGCCGGGACTGAGGATCTTGTCCCTAAAATATTTGGCTACCTTGATTCTCTTTGAGCCAGCCCAAGAACGGAGACGGGTCTCATACTTTGAGAATTCGGGGGGTCTGCCTAGATCCAAAATTGAGGGGTCCGTTCCCGGAATTAGCCGCTGAAACCACGAGTTAGATGGCAAGGAGGGATCAGAATGATCTCGGTGCGGGAAGTACCTTGTTTTCTTACCAGTTTGTGATTTGAGGGTGTCACCAGAGAACGGGCGCGGTCCACGCGAACTGAGGAATCCATGGCAGTGGTGGCGCAGGAAAGTCCATTGCTCTTCATCGCACCTTGGCGCGCTTCGCATTCGGACGAGTTCGAAGCCCAAAGTCATTCGGATTGCACCGGTGGGGATGGTTCATGAGCTAGTGATGGGGGTTCGCTTGGAGGTGGACAAGAATGCATCCACTTGTTTCATGCCCAGAGAGCAAGTTGGGCTTGTCTCAAAACAGGGGACCGCTGAAAAAGGGTTGTTGCCATAAGGGGTACCGCGAAAAAAGACACCCAGATGGCTGCACATTGATCCAAAGGTATTTTTGATGTCCGAATCCCCAAGCAACCTGCACACACTCAACCTCTCACCCGCGTTTGCTTTGCTTGAGGCTGGCACATGCGTCAAAGGATCTGTTCCTCAAACACCACACTGGAGCGCGTCACAAGGTCATCCTCCTTTTCACCATGATCGTCTATAGCTTCTTCTTCAACCTACTTGTCTCGCTGCCCGGCGCGGGAAAGTATGTGTTTGAGTGGACGGCCGAACTGCATGGGTTGCAACATATGTTTTTGTTTTCTTAGGGCCTTTGACTTCCCTTGTAAGTTGCTCCCCTAAAAAGGGTACCCTCAAAAGCACAGAGATCCGTATCTAGATACGTGGCAAATCAAGTGCCTTCGGCAACTCGATCGTTCTGTCTGAGGCAATTTTGCGGGGTGTACATGTCGCTGGCCAGCGACATCCAGGGCCATGCAAGGCAGCCGGCGGCGGCGCCGGTTTTCTCAGGTCGCCCTTTGGTGGTTTGGATTGGCGTGGATTTGGATGTGGACCTATTGCTTTCATCCAAAAAGGGCACCCCCTCCCAACAAATACACATTTTTGTTGTTGAAACAAAGAAACAGTCACTCATATATGAGGTAGCCCTTAATTGGTGGTTCGGCTTGGTGGTGGGAATGGAACCCCTGGTTCTTGTAGAGCGATTTTAAGAACCGACCAAAACCACCCTTTGTGCATGGACAAGTTCTTCTGCACCAGTTGGGATGCTAGGATAAACCATCTACCAAGCTGGCGGGAGTTTGCTCATCGGTGGGCCAACTCACGCTGCAGGCTTGGGCGTGGACAAATCATCCTTGAGACCCTCAAGGCCAGGGCCCATCCTTTCGCTTCGTTTGTTTGATCATTGAATCGGCATGTGACAAAATTGCTTTCGGTACCCTCCAGTAACATGGAACCTGACTGCAGGGTGCTGACTACTTTCCTTTGAAAAGGGACAGGTTCCGTTTCTGCTTGGAAGAGCGCTGGTTCACAACGACATGATGGAGCCTTTTTCAGGACCCATCTGTAGATCAAAAGGAATTATTTTGATTTGCTGTGTTTTGGCTGCGGGGTTAGGATGGGGAATCCACATGAGTTGCTCCAAGAAGCTCCAAGGAGCTTCTCATCGGAGGCCACGTATCAGGTTTGCGTTCGTTGCAGCCGACGGGTTCACGTTGGTTCAAAAGGACAAACGCCGGAACCAACCGCCCACGTTTGCGCGCGGGCCCCATACCTTTTTCTGCGTGGCTTTTCTTTTCTGCAAGGATTAGCGACACGGTTGGCGACACCGCTGTCTTTTTTCTTCTTTTTGCATGGACCGCATGGTGGTGTATCCGTTGCGTTGGTCGATTTTCCCGAGACCACCTCATACAATTACACACTTTTCTGGGTGGTTTTCAGGGTTGGACATATTCGCAACTAATTGGGTATGTGTCAAAATATGGGGACCGCCCAAGATGTTGGTTTCCCTTTTTTGTTTTGCCCTTTCAACGGACAGGCAAAGGGTACCAATAATTTTCAACCAAGCCCCCCCCAGCTGGCTTCCTCGTTGGCCGGGTGGAGGAAGTTCCCCTAAAATTGGTGGGTTTCTTTTTGCATCCCTTTCAAACACAGAGGGTGCTCCCCAACCAAACAAGAGCGTTTCCAGCAAACCACCAACCGGTCGGTTCTTCCACGTGATACTGTGCACCACTTGGAAACCAGGGCAAACCATTGTTTGTTGGTATTTTCAGGGGAAGCATCATTCCAGGGTTTCTTAGGTGGTGCAGGACTTCGTCCATCCAGTAGCCATGTCGCACCGCTTCGGCTTCGATTCGTCGTTCCATTCCCGCTTTCCGGTGAGACGGTGCGGATGGCTCGCTGGAAGCGCTTCATGTCGTCCTTGGCCTTGGACCGCCGCGTGGACTTCGGGGAGGGCGACATCGGCCTGGCGGGAGGACGCGCGGCGAAGAACTCGCGGTTGGTGGGGTGGGGTGGTTGAAGCCCCGACCCGTTTGAGCCACGTGCAGCCCCGGATTTTAATCGAAGCCGTAGAATCTGCGGCAATTGAGATCGGGGTTGGATGTCTGGAGGGGAAGTCTGGGTAGCTTTCAGGAATCTCAGTTGTTTCCCCCGAAACACGGAAGCCTGGGTTTTGGGAAGCCGTTTTGGGGGCCGTGTTGGGAGCGGAGGTCATTCCCTTCCCAAAATGGGGCGGGGGGTGGGGGGTTTTGCTTTGTTAGGGAACAACATCCAAGGTTCAAGCAAAGCGTTGACATACGAAAAGCTGTCCAAGGTCAAACACAAAGCCAGGCCCTTTCCTTTGTGGCTCGAACTTTGGTGGCTCGAAATCTGGATGCGATTGAGCTTCGTCATATCTCTTTCTTCACAGGAGTGAAGAGTGTATTGAAAACGGTTTGGATGTGGCTTTTGTGGCCTGTCGGCTATGAAAAGAGTACCAAAGGATTGCAAAAAAAGAAACAACTGGGGGAAGAACAACTGACATCCGGTGACCATTCTCAAGTCCTGGATTTTGGTTTTTCTTCGACCTCTCCTTGTTTGCTGGGGTCAAATCAACAGAACAGGAAACCCGAAGCCATCTTGTTGGGGGGTCCCCCTCCAAAAAGGCATCTTTCTTTGAAGGCTTAAGGTAAAAAATGGCATCTCGTTTCTTTTTGGGTTTCCCTTTAAAGCCACCACAACCTGGGGGCACCAAGCCACCGCCAAAAAAAGTGCCACGCGAGCCGCGGATTTCGTCGCTGGATCGCGTCAAGCTTTGGGCCAAGGCATCAAGGCGTGGGAGCCGGCCTTGCTGCACGCCGTGTCCAAGGCGCGCCCTTGGCGTCGGAGTCGGAGCTCCCTGCGGCGCCCCCCAAGAACGGCCGGCTGAAACCGTGACCGGCGGCCGGCGCAGACCAAACGGCGGCGACCGGCGGAAGGGCCGATAAGTTTTTTGGAGTCTCCTGAAAAATATGTGCAATTGTTGTTTTCTTTTCTGCGCCGGGGGGGGGGGAAGGAGAGAGAAAAACAGTTGGAGTCGGAGTTGCAGGCATCCCCAAAAACAAAGACTATTGTTCCTTCATAGCCAATCTCGCGATGTGCCCTTGCCCCCTAAAATTCGGCTGAACTGGGCCGTTGTGTTTCCCTTTACCAACACTACGGGCAACACTACGTCCCCCCAAAAACAAAAAACAAAAAAAACAAAAAAGGAGACACAAACTACAACAACCAAAACAACAACACCACAAATCAACAAAGAAAATGAAACATGGAAGAAAGAAACGACCCACCCCTGCCCGCCAACCCCCCGACTTGTTTCCGGCCTTTGAGTCAGACTATGCGGCAAGAAGGTTGGACTTTGGCCAATTCGCTCGTGATGTGTGCTTTGCCCTTACAAAGGTGCCCCATGGCTAAAATGTCCCATGTTGATTCAGAGCCCATGTATCAAGGGGATCCATGGGAAGGTTGTGACCGTTTCTGATCCCTAGTCACGATTAGTGACTGCTTCACGGTTCTTTGCATGTGAAGGCCGTATTCTTGGGCGACCCCAAGCCCGGTGTTTGAAGACATCGCTCTGGTGAGCTTGAGCGGCTTTTGGGGGTCTCATGCCTTAGGATGAGATCATCCGATTCGGCGGTCAGACGGATCCTTCGTTGCCTTGGCCGGAGAAGGACGCAGGTGATGCCAATGAGATGGAGAGGATGATCAGAGGAACGAAGCCTGGCTTGCAAGAGGTCCTTTTCTTCATTCTTTTTATTTTTACAGGGGATGAAAAGCAGTTGCTGACTGCAATGCGATGCTTTGAACCTTGAGTTCGCCGCTGTGAATTCTCATTCAGGATTCAGAGGACACTCAAGTCACTACTGGGCAAGAAGGGCATCAACAAGAGCGGCGGCGACGACACGAGCCTTGGCTTAGGCTTGAGGCTTTTACGTTGCTTCTTGGTTTTCGTGGCAATGGGTGCAGCCCGGAAAAGCCAAGCCACGCGCCAAAGTGAAGTGGCAAAAACTAAGGACAAGTAGCCACCATAGCAGCAGCCACCGCAGCTCTCTCGACGAGTGATAGCGCGACCAGCGCTGGAGCACTCTGACTGCAGAGGTCACTGCGTTCAGGTGGAACATCCACCCTGCATGACATTGTTTTAGCTGTAAACTCTCTGCTTACCTTTCGAGGCATTTCTCATGGAGCTGTCTAAAGCTGCAGTCTAGAGGCTGCTTGATAGGTTGAATCTGTTTTCCGCCCGTGTTTTCGGCCCTGAGTATTTGCAAGGAGCCGTTTTCAGGGCCATATCCAGGTGGGATCGCTCGAGGGGCAGGCATTTCACACGTGTCCAAGACGCGTGTGTAGGGGGCTTGCGCTTTTTTGTCATATTCGCTTGCGCACAAGCTTGCAAGATTGTCTTGCTGGTTGGATCAGGGTCCCTGAGTTGACCTGAATCGAAAATTGAAACCATCCAGCTGTTTGATGGGAATCCCCTCCATTCCCCAAAAGAAACAGGTGACCCATTTTTGGAACCAGCAAGTTCATACCAGGCTACAAAGCGCCTGGTATCCATCCAGCTCCAACGAAGCGGATACGTTACTTTCAACCGGGCTGTGTTCCATGCCTGAGGCATGGGCCGACTTTTCGAGCTTTTGAAGCTGGCCCTAAAGGCCGGTAGCTGGTCCTTGTGTGAGCGCCGATATTTTCAAACGGGGTGCGATGGCTGTCGCGGGCGCATTTACTGCGCCATGCGGGGAGGCGATGCAAGAGAGCCATTGGGACCGTCACGGGTCATTCGACAAAAAGCATCGAAGAGAGCCGTCTGGAGCATTTGGAAGAGGCATGAGAGCAATCACCAGCTGCACATGTCGCAGCCAGATCCGAAGACAGCGATCGGTCGTGCCTACAGCAGCTCATTTCATGCTTTGCACCGAAGACAAATGGCAAGACTTTGTCCTCCCACACATTCAACTCGATTTCCTCAGCAACGCACACGCACGCACGCCTCGGAGCAAGCCCACGCGCATCTTTCTGATGCCGGAGACTGAAGAGGAACGGCTGAGACTGGACCAGCAGGCGCGAGACCGCAGCCCGGCAATGAAGAAGCAGGCCACTGAGTTCATGAACACCACCCAGCCACTTTATGCCTTTGGTTTTTCAGGAAGCCAAATGGAGTTTCCAAGGCATTTTGGGGTTCCCCCCGCCCCTGCTTCGCTTCGGATTCCCTCCCGGAATCCGAGGCATGGCGGCCCACATGAAGGCCGTGGAGGAGGCCGAGGCGCGCGGCGCCACCGGCGACCGCGGGGCCTGGAAGTGGAAGATCCGGCAGAGGCGGCTTCGAAATCGGGTTCGCAGGAAACGAGGCGAGTCTGAAGCCAAGGTTAGTCATAATTCTTATAATAATACAACATGTATGGGTGTGCGAATTTCAGCACCGACCCAGTGATTGATGAACAAAAGCACAAGGGAACACAACGTGTAGTTGGAGAAAGCGTTCCAGGTACAGCCATTTCCTTGGACATGTGGACCCAATCGATGGCTAGAAGCCATCAACGGAAACTTTCTGTTGACTTGTGAGGGGTCCCAACTTTCATGGCGACTCAAAGGTTTAGCCTTGCATCAACCACACTTTGTGTCCTTTTGAGGGGTTAGTTTGGTTCGAAATAGATGGATTACACTGGTTTAGTCATTGGTCTTATGCCATCCCATTTACCAGGCAGGCTGCGAAAACTCGATTCTGTATTTTTGGGTCGGCAGCTGCAGTTTCACCGGAAACCTGAAGAAAGTTGTTGCAATTACAGAGGAGTTCTCTTGGAATGAGACCCCCCCAAAAAGCGGAAATTCATCAAGTCTGGAGGACAATATTGAGGATGTCACGGACCTGGTTTGAGGCTTCCAACTTTTTGCTTGACACATTCATGGTCAGTAAATCCAAGCAAATCGTGGTACTTTTGCTGGCATTCTTGAGCCAGGTTAGGCTTAAGGTCCAGCAAATTCAAGCGACAGATAGGGCTTTTGCTGTGTTTGTGGAATCTGAGGCTGTTGGAACATGGGGTGATCATGGTGATCCAAGTTTTGGCGGTGCGGGAAAATTATGCACTGGGTTCAGCCAGGTGATTATGTTTCCGTGGGCAGTTAATTTTGAACCGGCCTTCAAGATACGTGTTACACACACAATGTACATCGGCAGGTGCAACTGCATAGCTGCGGGACTGTGTTCGAAGCGAACAGAGCTGGGCGAGTAAAAACAGCCGATGCGAGTAAGCATCGAAGCCGGGGACCTGTGGTATTTTGAATTCGCATGAACGCCAAGGTGTCCACACCAGAGTTCAACACAACTCCGTTTGATTCCGCCGCCAACGTGATGGTAAGGTGTTTTGAGACACAGCCACCCCGCATTCTTTCCGACTCACCAAACTTCCCCACGAAAAGAACAAGGACAGAGTCGACAGGGCTTTTTCGCATTTGGCAAGCTTTCCCACAAAACAACAAAGGGACAGATTCGACATACTTTTTTCTCATTTGCCAAACTTCGCCACAAAGAAGGAAGGGAGAGAGTCGACTTGACCTGGTTTTCTCATTTGCAAACCTCCCCAGAACACCAGAGTCGACCAGAGTTTTTTTCTCATTTGCCAGGAGTTTTTTCGCATTTACCAAGATCCCCAAAATACCAAAAAAGAAGCAGGGGGAGAGTCGACAGGTTTTTTTCACATTCCAAACATCCCTACGAAACAGCGCACGAACGACCGAATGTTTCCTCATTTACCAATATTCTCTGAAAAGAAGGCAGGGACAGAGTGGACAGGACTTTTTCACAGTTGCCAAACTTCCCCAGGGACGACCGGATGTTTCCTCATTTACCAATATTCCCCGCAAAACAGCAGGGACGACCGGATGGTTTTCTTCTTTTTTTTTTCCCCAAGATCCCGGACAAGGAAGGCAGGGACACAGTGGACAGGATTTGGGATTACATGGAGGAGAACGACATCGCCGCCAACCCGCGCCCCGTGCACCACCGCATCCCCAACTTTGTGCAGGCTGAGCTGACAGCCAAGCAGGCGGGAGCATCGCAAACGGGCCAAGTTTGTAGGTGGTTCTACTTTTTGGCTCTCTTTTTTTTTTGAATAAGGCAGAAAACACTGTTCAATGCCCAAAATTTGACGAGCGTCGTCTGGGGGTCCATGAGGGGCCAGGGCCTGTGAATACTGCGACGAAAGGAAACAAACCACCTGCCAACTGATGCAAGATTGTGTCCAGTGTTTGTTTGTTTGAGGGCCACTGGGGCCATTGGGGGAGAGCCCTTGTAAGGGGGAGCTTTATTGGTGGCTGCTACGAAGATTTATTGAAAGGGACACCAACAAGAAGCCATCTCCATGTCGATTCGTGGTTCGGCCAAAGTATCTGACAGTTTGTGGTTAGACCACTCCCCGTATAAATCTGTCGAATCGTGTTGGTTGACCCAAAGGCCGATGGGTTGTTCGTGGCGGGGTCAGCGTAGGTGTCTTCGTTTCATGGCAATCGGTAGGTCTTCAGATGTGGGGCGCCACGTCAGGTTGGCTGAAAGCCCATGTTTCTGGTTCCAAAGTCCCTATTTTGACATGTGGATGGTTGAGAAATCCATTTCGCACCACCGTTCAGAAACCCTGGTTTCTGATGATTCCCCAACAATTTGCCAACAAACCAGGGCTTGGTTTCAAGGTGGTGCAGGATTCGTCCATCCACAGTGTACCAACCAAGCAGCGCCCAAGGCCCCCTTGGCCGTTTTTAGGTGGTCCTAGTGTACCTGGTTGAGCTAGGACTTATAGTAATCCCCATACAAGCCTTGTGTTTCCATGGTACCAACAGATGGGTTCGGGCGCTGCTCAAATGGATCAAGGCCTTCTCCTTCGGTGGAATTTGGTACAAGAATGGTGAGCCCTAGGCTTCCTCAGACCTGGTTAGGGACACCAAAAAGCCTTCCCCCCCCTGCTCTGGACCACATTCCATTTGGGTGCCCCCTTTTTTGGGCGACACGCGCAAACAAGAAGGTGGTTGTCTTTTGAACGCACCCCCCAAAAAGGTGTACCAACTCCCAAAAAAGATGAGCCGCCCATTTGGGCGGAAGATCCATTTGCCGTCAGGTGGCGATGCTGCCGGAGTTTCAGGCCGCCAAGTGGGTGAAGGTGAATCCTGATCGCCCGCAGGCCGAGGTTGCCGCCTCAACCGGATTCGAACGAAGGCGTCGAAAAAGGCAGGGCTCCCTGGCAGTGGTGGACCCCGTTGTTTCATTGTCTACCAGGGCCATCTATTTGACCAAACGGACATGGCCTGTGGATTTAAACGTCACCTTTAAAACCAGTTCGTTTTTGTTGGTGTTTTCTGCAGGGCAAATGTAGGGAGCTGTGTGAAATAATATCAGGGGCCAAAGCACCACACGGACAGCTGGTTTCGAGGATCCCTTTGTAGACATTCGTTTTTTGGATCTATCCACTCAAGAACCTGCCAAAACGCTCTCGAAATGGAGTGCTGTTTTGATGGGTTGGCAGGGTACCAACGAGAAAACGAAGCCAGGTGCCTCGTCGCCTTTTGGTCCAAAACTTTTGGGCTGAAGCATGTCCCTCCCCCCGAGAAAAAAAAACAAAACAAAAAACAAAACAAAACGGCAAATAGCAAAACAAAAAAACAGGAGACCAAAATGAGGACAAGCATTCTTTTGCTTTCTTTGTCCAGACCCCCTGTGTAACTTCTACCTGGATCGGCAGTTGCTGAATCTAGGATGTTCAGTGTCTGGACGGAAAGGACCCGCAACTCGGCTGCTTTATCTACGCATGTTGTCCTCTGACTGTTAGGGTCAAGTGTCTTCTTTTGGATTTTTCTTTTGTTTCCCCTTTGTGATTAGCCATGGTTCATATCATCATCAGGGACGTCGCGTTAGTGACTGACCTGTGGTGTTTTGGCTCAAGTTTTGGGTTCCGTCGCGCCTCGAATGGGCGTCGCCGAACCCCTGCGTCGACCGATGGCATCTCGGGGGAGAAAGAGACCTCGGGCCGCCGCCAGGTTGGTAGGGACCAGTCGTGCGGCCTGTTGTCGACCAAGGTTGCGGGTTAACCCTTTTCTTGTTTGGTTTGATTTCCTTTGGTTGTTGTTCTCTGGTGTGTGGGAAACCCTGATCTTTGGGACCGGGGATTGGTTTGCTTTTGGGGAACCTTTCTTTTGTGGCTTGTTTACCCCAACTTACCCATTGCCTGGGCACAGGCTCGTGCCCGAATCACAGGTTATCAGCCGTAGGACTTTCCTACGCGCTTGAGACCATCAACTACAAGCTCTATGTCGACCCCACGATCTCGAAGGAGCGTCGTGGATGAGGAGGCCATCCTAGGTGGCCTCCGCTCAGGTGAGGACCTACCGGACTATGACTACGAGGATTTCGAAGCAGGTTCGACAGGTCAGGACCGCAGGGGTGAAGATCCCGGTAGGGATACACCCAGGAGCCGTGGCAGGTACGCCGACGATGGAGACGATCGTATTTTCCGCCAGGCCACTGATGACGAGCAGACACGAAGGGTTTACTCCGATAGGAGTGGCTCTGAATCAGGTCACAGGCGTGGACGTTTTGACTTCATCAGCATGGCGATGGACATGGCCCGCCCTCATTCGGATGACCCGGAGGCCATGCCGATTCGACCTCCGAGATCTCTTGTTCCAGGTGAGTCGCAGGTCTCGGATGAGTTTGAGAATAGGCCGCAGGGACCAGGGACTATGGTTCTGGCTCCGGGAGGTATCCCGGGCCGATCCACTGGTTCTCAGAATCCAGGTCAGTTTGATGAGCACGAGGAGCGGAAGTTCTCAGACTTCGGATACGATGATCTGTTGAAATCGACCGCAGGATGGGGCAGTAGCTCAAAGCAGGGATCTGATGCCGGTAGGCCCAACCCTATTACTGCCAAATCTGAGTCTTATGATGACGGAGATTACAATTTTGCGGATGAGGAGGAGAGCCATTCGCGCCGAGGTGCAGGCAACCGTGCGGCTGCAAGGACTAGTCCTGCCGCTGCCAAGTTTGAGGTAAATGATGATGACGAGTATGCCGCATTTGCGGATCGCCGTGATGAGGAGGAGCACCAATCACGACGAAGTGCTAGGATCCGTGATGCTGCGAGGCCCAGGAGCCTCTCTCGTGGAGCCGCCAGGGACCTTCGTGTTGACAGGGACGCCCGAAGCGAGAGAGAGAGAGCCAGGGACAGTCGGGAAGTTCTTCGGGGATTGGAGGCTATCCATGACCGTGAGGGACCGGTAGGTCCCCCGGCGATCGGTGATACCCCGAATGTTCCCCCTTTTCCCAACATTACTTTTGGAGGTCCGTTGGATCAGAGAGACGTGAACTCGAACCGGGTTACTGGTTCGCCGAGGATCACTGAGCGGGTTGCCGATGTCGTTGGGAAAGGTGCAAGAGATGGCCGGCTTGCCGATGCACTCGGAATCGAGGATCATCCGTCGATCGCTAGCCCGTTAGGGCGAGATACTAGTGACCTTGAAACACTTAGGTCTAGCAACGAGTTCACACCTCAGTGGGGCTCGACCGCCAGGGAACGTAGTGCTTCTGCGAAGAGACCGTCACCCCTGGCCATTGAGACCGATAGGTCAAAGGCGAGGAGGGCTAGCCCCTCACCAATGGATTCAACTCCGCAGGATGAGGAGATGCCTGATCCTGCTGATGTTCACATTCACTCCACCCCCGAGTCACGTGCATCCAACATTGATCCTCCGATCTGGCGATAGCCGGAGAAGGGGATCCACCCCGAGTAGGCCATCCAGGATTGATGATTGTCCCGTAGATGACCCAAGAAGGCATGCCGGGGCTAGTAGGGCTCCTGAGAGGATCGAGATATCGACTCCTCCCGCCCTCAGATCTCAGTCTTCTGGCGAATCAGGTGACGTCAGGGCAAAGGAGATGTTCGAGTTGCACATCCAGGAGATGCTCGAAAGGGGTGAGGTTTCTGGCCCAGTCGCGAAGGCGTTCCATATCTTTGCTGACCAAATCAGGGTACTGAATCAGGTGAGTTCCATGAGAAGGGAATGGAGTGACGAGAGCCGACAGACGAAAGACAAGGTCGATCGCCTGGCAGCTGAGGTTGCGACTCAATCTGATGCCGGGAGGATGCGAATGATAGTTCAACGGTTTGCAAGGGAAGTTATTCCTGACAGCAATGCCATTGTGAGGCAAGCCATCGATGAACAGGCTGAAGTCGTCGAGCAGAGGATCAATCTGCTTTCCCACGAGATCCACGAATCTGTTAAGGACAGTGAACTCGCAACAGATCAGCTTCGCCAGAAGATTCACGAAAATAGTGAGGCTACCCGCAGGAGCCATGCTGCTTCCGAGGACGAGATCCTCAAGGATTTGGATAAGCTTGAGAAACGAATGTTCTCGGTAGAGAAACCGTTGGGATGCGGACGCCAGCAGGTATATGGAACCCGAATCCTGTCGCGCAACCGTCCGATAGGGCCAGCAGCAGTGTGGTTGACGCGAATTTCAGGGAGTTAAGCCTGAAGATCGAGAAAGCTCTCCTTGAACACGAGAAGTTTGCTAAGTGGGCCTCCGAATCTATTGAAGGCATAAATAAAGAGCATACCCTTCTTGCTAATCGGATGTCGAGGCTGCAACACGGAAGGGGATCCCAGGAGGTCGATAGACCATCAGGGCATGATTCCCCGCAGGACTGGCATGAGGCAATTGACGAGGTCAATCGGAAGATTCAGGACCTAGCTCGCGAAGTTCAACGTCAACGTCGGGATCATGATGATATCATCTCGAGGTTTGAGACCGTGAAGTCCCGTGTCGAGCGGTCTGAGGCGAGCTCGGGAGTTCTGGATCAAGTTCTTGATGATATCAGGGGACAGATTCGTAGCCTTCCGGTGAGTACTGAGCAAGCACGGTCTGTCGTTAGGCGCGAGTTGGAATCATTCCGCAACACATTAGAAGCCTCGGTGAGGAGGATCAACAATGTTGAGAGCAACATTCGTACTCTTAACGGAATGAACAACAGGATCATGGCTCAGCTCTATGAAATTGAAGGTCATGTTGATGAGGCTGCTGTCATTATTCAGGGTGCCCAGGACAATCAGGCAAATCTCCCACAGCCTAGAGAGAGACGGAACGTCGGATACACAGAATCAGGTCTCCGACGCCCACTCCCGGAGAAGGTAATGGCCGGGGTACTGGCCTTCCGGTGAGACCGGGCGGAGGTGTCGATTTGGTCGATCACGCTTTGCCAGATGTGCCCGGTAGGGTCGATCCTTCTCGTGCAGACAGGCATCCCATTTATCCCGATAGGGAGAGGGCTAACAGCAGAAGCAGGAGGGCTCGGGGATTGCCTGACAGGTCGCATTCACCGCCAGGGCGGGTCCTCCACCTATCGCCGGGACTCGGGACGTCGGCACTAGCTCTGCTCCCAGAAGTCCTCCAGTCATCGCCGGGACTCTGGATATCGGCATGGGCCCTAATACCCCTACCACCTCCTGGATGACGGTCTGGGTTCGGAGAGACGTTCCCGCTATCGCGGATCGGTCTATCCAGGTTCGGAGAGATACTCCCGCTGTCGCGGATTGGCCTCTCCCCCCTTGATTGCCGACTTCGGACCTCAGACCCCCTATCGGGGACGGCGGGCTCCTATTCCTACCCACATCCCTATTGGGAGAAACAGAAATCCCCTTGCGCGCGCGCGGGGGCCATCCCTCGCCCCTGGAGCTCCATCTGATCGTGGACAGGCCTCGGCACCGGCCACAAGAGGCGCTCCCGGTGCCGGTGGCCCAGGTGCGCCAAAGATTTGTGCCATCGATGACCCCAACGACCGTAGGCACCCGGACGCTGAATTTTCGTGTGTTACATGCAATCGTGAGTTTTGCAGGCTTTGCCGGGGCGATGATGGTGACTGTAGTAATTGTCAGTTTTTGAAAATGAAGTGCTGGGCATGTCGCAAGAATGCTCAGGAGGTCTCCATGTATTTCTGCACGGATTGTGGGACCCACGTCTGTGAGAATCACAGTTACTTTGGAAATGACGGCCTTGAGCGATGTGCGCGCTGCAATATTCGGCATGAACGCGCTCAAGCTGGACCGCCCCCTCCTCCTCCTCCTCCCGGGGGAGGTGGTGGGCAAGGCGGACCACCTGGTCAAGGTGGGAGCGGAAGCGGTGGTCATGGACATGCTC